TGGCCCCCTTCTTTTTTTTTTAAAATGATCTCACTAAGTAACTTTCTTGCTGTCTATCTGTCTGATCTACCTGTTTATCTCACTCTCTCTCTCTCTCTCTATGATCTATATATCTGTTTTTCCAAATCAGAATGATTGACTTTTATGAAAGAAGCAGAAGAGAGCCAATGATCAAGCAGGAATCACTTGGTTTTAGTCTTGGTTTTTAAACATCATAGACTAACATGGTGTGGAGTCCTGATAAGTAAGCAACAATGAAGAAGGGGGTCCCAAGTAGGGGAGAACAACTGTTCCAAGAGACAGCTAATCACAAACAAGCCGCTGGCACAACTACCTTGCTCTGAGTGTAACATCCTCCAGCATGACCTAAAACTTCCCTCCAGCCCCTGCCTCTTTCCAGACAGCCCCTTCTCTGCTGTGCTGCCCGTTGCTTCCTTGCAATGTACTTTCCCTTGAGTAATTGAGTAATTGGCCTTTCTTTACCTACAACTGTCTTGTTAAATTGGTAAATTCTTTTTTTTCTTTTCTTTTTTTTGAGACAGAGTCTCACTCTGTTACTCAGGCTGGCGTGCAGGGGCCTGATCTTGGCTCACTGCAACCTCTACCTCCCGGGTTCAAGCGATTCTCCCACCTTAGCTTCCCAAGTAGCTAGGATTACAGGCACGTGTCACCATGCCCAGTTAAGTTTTGTATTTGTAGTAGAGACGGGGTTTCACCACATTAGCCAGGCTGGTCACAAACTCCTGACCTCTGGTGATTTGCCCGCCTTGGCCTCCCAAAGTGCTGGGATTACAGCCGTGAGCCACCATGCCCTGCCGGTAAATCCTTTGCCACCCAAAACACTGGCACCAGCCAGTTGCACCCACGACACTGCGCACCACTGGACAAAAAGGTCCCTTTGCTCTGTCACAGTGTTTAGACTAGACTGTACTAAAGATGGTCTAAGACTAAACACACAAGTTAAAAATCCCAGATAAGCTTTATTTGAATATTTCACAAACAAGTTACACATTTCTTTGTAACTACATAGTAAAGCAAATGTTAGTTTACAGCTCAGAAACTGTAAGCAATTCAGCAGGGAGGGCTCAAAGGAGTGACATCTGCCATAGAATGAATATTTTAACATGATTAACTTTTATCCCTTTTGAAAAGTGTTTATGAATAAAAAGCATTTAAAATTTCTTCAAATTTTTATCTGCGGGGATAAATAAAATTTTGTCATCAGGACAGTGTTGACATGTGCATGACAACACAGATTTTATATATATATGTAGCCTGCATTTTCAACTCTCTAATAGTCTGAATTCATGTATACGATAGACATAATGGATTTATTACTCTCTAAAGAAAAAGCTTTTTAAAAAGTAGCAGAAAATAGAGGCTCCAGCTTATTTTCATAGTGCTTCTATAAACCCCTTTCTCCAAGTCTTCATAGCTTCGGAATGAAAACTTCCCTAATCCTACACCACCCAAGGCATTTCACCATTTCCCTACCAACCAGCTGGCACGTGGAAAGTCAAATAAAATGGTTCAAAGGCTTATCAAGCTTAGCAACCCTCCAACAAAAGATGTGATGATAGCAACGTAGCATGAGAGAGAGGAAATTTTTCCGCTTACTTAATTTGATGAGTATCTAAATTATTTCTGCTTAAATTATAGACTTACTCTTAAATTATATAATTGAAGTTCTTATCTGAAACCCGCATACACACATCCATTCCCACTATTTTTTGCTGTCTCTCTATATCTTGTACATGCTTTCATATGAACACAGTCACAACTGCAGAATTTTTTTCAATAGTGGGCTAATCTATTAGCAATAGGAAATATAGTAAGGGTAACACACTGGATATAGTAAAAGAATTGTTAATTGCATTGGATGTACAATTTTGAAAGCATTTTATCATTAGACTATGAAAAATACCAAATCTCAACAGTCAGTTAAGGAGAGAAGATGGAGGTCTTTATGAAAGATGTAGCCAGATTATTAGATTATTATTCTTAGTATTTGGTAAACAGAAAATGTAGGTGGCTTTTTCGGTGCTTGGGTTTCCTGTTGGTGTGATTTACCCTGTTGACTCATGTTTAAGGCAGCTACACGTAAACAGATTAATGGGCTACCTTTACAAAATCAGAAACTACTTAGAGATCCTTTAGAATTTGCCTCTTTGAATAATGTATAGCAAAGCACAGTGTAAACCCTTCAAGATCCCACCCCACTTTCTCCCTCAGTTTTCCCTCGCCTCAGTTGGTTTGGTAGTGAATGGGTACTCTGGAGTTCATAATTTTTTTTTTTTTTTCTGAGACGGAGTCTTTCTCTGTTGCCCCAGCTGGAGTGCAATGGCTCACTGCAAACTCTGCCTCCTGGGTTCAAGCGATTCTCCTGCCTCAGCTTCCTGAGTAGCTGGGATTACAGGTGTGCACCACCACGCCCAGCTAATTTTTGTATTTTTTAGTAGAGACGGGGTTTCACCATGTTGGCCAGGCTGGTCTTAAATTCCTGACCTCAAGTGATCCACTCGCCTCTGCCTCCCAAAGGGCTGAGATTACAGGCATGAGTCACCATGCCCAGCTACTTTTAATTAATTGAGATGTTAAATTAATCTAGGAGAAGCCCCTCATCTACCTGCTAATAAGCCATGGAAGGGAAGGGGCAAATAATTATGTTACCTTGTACAGGAAAAATTTCTAAGGTCTCAATATTAATTAAGAATGATGTTAACTTTTTTTTTTTTTAAACAGAAAGCTTTCAGAATGAAGAAGTATAGCAGGAACTTAATAGTAGGTAATAGAAGATACTGTTAGTAAAAGGTACTTAATAGTAAAAGATACCTCATAGTAAAAGGTACTGTTGCTTAACAGTAAGTTGGTTTAGCTGCATAGTTATGCTATCGGAGGCTTCAAACTAGGGTCTCCTGGTCTGCGGTAGGCAGATGGTCTGGTTCTGCTCCAGGGTTGAGAGTGGCATTGTGATGTCGTGGGACGAACATGAACCCTGGAGCCAGACAGCCTGGGGTTTGGTTCTGGAGGCCACTTACCTTGGGCAAGTCATTCCATTTTTTCTGAACCTCAGCCTTCTTTATCTGTGAGTTGGAGAAGATAGTAGTACTTGCCTCATGTGTTACTGGAGGGATTAATGAGTTACTATCTATAAGGATTTTGTACAGTGTGGGCACATAATAAGCGGTTGATAAATATAAACCATTATAATTATTAATCACCTTTTTAGTACCATGTTCATACACCCCCCAGGAAAATTGTAGACTCCTGTCCTCAGAATCATCTGGAGAGCTTGTGCCTGGGTGCAACTGCACCAAATCCAGGATCAAACACAGACTTGTTAAAAATTGTTTAGTTGTCACATCTTAAGATTAAGACCCAATGCATTTATTCTGGGTAAAATGCAATTTGAGCTACTCTATGAGTGTGATGGTAGATGGTGGTTCCCTTTATCAGGCTGTTTACATTGACATTCTGAAACTCTGGAATGAGCTATCAAAATTTCTAATGATGTTCTTTAAGAGCTAAAGTCTTATTTGATACCTACCATGAAATCTGGCTGGATTTATTTCGTTATGATGCTTTGATTTGCCGGTGTCGGCCAAGAGGCATAGCAGGTATATCTACCTGAAATGATGCTCATTTGGAGAGAATTGGCAGTATTGAAGGTGACTTTCATTGAAGTTAGAAAATGTGTGCATATTCTTATTAAAACAAATTATCCAAAATAATTAATTAATCGTCTGTAAAATGAGGGAGAAAATGTGATTTTTAATCAACTAAGGTGGTTGAGTATTAATAAAAAGAAGTGAAGGTGTGACTGTTTGCTCAGTGGAAAGAAGACCCTCAGAACCTGTGCTCAGTAATTGGGAAAAGCAATTTCTGGTTCTTACTTGACTTCATTTTTTAATAAGTTGGACTCAGATAAAATGCATAGGTAATAATGAAATAACATTTTGATTCTACTATGGTTTTCAGTAAACAGTGTAATATATTCCAGCAGGTTAACAAAACATCCTGTGATTCAGGAAATGCTATCACTTTGGCCTATAAGAATTGGTTTCTTTTTTCTTTTTTTTCTGGAAAGTATTAGAAAGAACAACACGACGGAAGTATCCCTGTCCTGATTAGAACTGTGGGGACAGAGAATATGTTTAAATAAGGGAAAGTTGAGGCATATTCTATTTATTAATGAAGTGTGCACTTTACTCCTTTCTGAATTTTCAGCTAAGTTAAGCTTCTGGTTCGGTTTGCAAAGTGCAGGAGAGCTTACTGGCTTGAGAGAAAAGGAGTCGTCTCGTACCTATTTCCTTCAGTGAATGGTCACTCAGCTGCTGTGTTTCTCCTTGCAGGTGGCTGAAGTTTACGTTGGAGGGCGACTTCCTGATTGCCAGTTAGCATACGTGTCCGGCTACCAGCTGCCTGACTGGCTGAGGATGCTCTTGGTTTGTTCAAGGGTGAACGTTCTCCCCCGGCTTGCAGGAAGAGGGCAGCGAGGTGCGCCAGGGAGGCACAGGATAGTGCCCTATAAGCCAGTAGAGGAAATGTTGTAAAGTGTGAATGCACAGGCTTAGATTCCCCTGTCCCTGAGTCGGGGGCATGTGCTCGTGGAGAATGACCCTATCAAGTTCAAGGTATGGCATCTCCTGATCCAGCAACAGGATTTGTTCCAGAGAAAAATCCCCAGGTCTTCGGACTGTTGACAGATGGCCGTGACTGTGCTTAATGTGGTCATCAAATTGAGAAGGGTCCGTCTCATCTTTGAGTATGCAATTACCTTTATAGCTGATTATGATACCCTCAGATCATATCATGAGGTGGACAACATGAGTCCATTGCCCATGCTGAGAACTGGTATCTTTATAGACCCACTCACCTACCAGAGATGTACGACAGACCCCAAATGGTCAGTCAAAAAGTGAACTTGCGCTAAGACAAGACCCAGCCAGCATCAGTGACATTAGACACAAGATAGAAATCAGAGAAAAGTTACTGTCCAGCAGTTTTAACCACCAATACCCATTTATTTTAATGGAAAAAAAAATCTCTGCATTCTATATGTTCCAAAAGGATTTACTATGGAAACAAATACAATATATGGAACTCTATCTGTATAATTTCACTACAACAAAGACAACATATGACTTCTACTTCCTACAGAAGGCTAACTGAAAGCACAAGTGCAAACATAGATTGCATAAGAAAGCGTGTGTGTGTGCGTGTGCGGTTAAAACCTTTAGTAAAGCAACTGCATTAAAATATGCTAAGACACTTACCTTACCCTAGTTCGTGGCGAGCTCTAATCAAAAGCCACAAGCTGTCACTAGTTTTGATAGAAAAATTTGGTGTGAGCTTTGATGATTCATTTACGGTTTATCAACAAGAAGGGAATCTTAGAACAAGCACTAACTTTCTGCTTTACATGCTCACAGAATACAAATCAGTTACTTTTCATACATAATGAACGTCTTTTATTTTCAGGTTTGCAAACAACGGTAGTCAATTCACACAAAAGGGTACTTTTAAAACTACCTGTATTTACTCTATTTTATGCCTGTATATATGAAACAAACGGAGTGAATGTGCATAAATGTATGTCTGTACATGTGGGTATATATGTGTATACAAGATGGTACCTGTAGACCTCTTTGTATGCAGGTATGACCTCCATGATGACAGTTGCAGTTACACATTTACTGAGGAGGGACAGATTCTTTACCATGATCTGTGTCCCCATAAGAATCAGTGCGACTGTGGATTCGGGACACAGACAAATGCAGGTTGGTGCCCATGAAAGAAAATGTCAGCCCTTTTCTTGGCATGTGGTGGTGAAATTGCTCGCCCTGCTCCTCACCACCTTGGCTCAGGATCACGGCATCAGATGGCAGTGAAAATCGGCTGCAGTCCTCGAACTCAGTAAAGAGAAAGGACTTCTTTCTCTGCTCTCCCTCTCTGTGGACCTGCCTGGCTGGTCGTGGCAGCATTCAGACTGAACGGGACAGTGGAGAAGCAGCTTCAGAGCAAAAGTGACAGCTCTGTGGTCTGTCCTCATGCTGACCTTGAAGCGGGAGGCCCTGGAGGGTTCAGTTGTCTTAGTTTTCACCCACCTTGCTTAACCTTGCAAGGAAGAATGGCATCAAAACGAGGCTTCTCCGGGATAGTCTCTCTCTATAAATACCGTGTATATACACATACAGATACTCATACATATACCAATACTAACCCACAGACAAAGCTGGGTGCCTGGAACCCTGGCTAGCGACATGTTAACACACCAGAAAAAGTAGTCATTGTTCCTGCTCCCAGAAGATCAAGTCATATGTCATGATCTTTAAACATTCAGGGAAAATTCAGAGGATTCCATTAATTAAAGGAGGGAGGAAGATGCTGTCAAAATGATGAAGTACAGACTAAGTGAAATTGCAAAGAAAACAAAAACCCGGAACAATTGAGGCCTAGTTGTGAAGTTCGATAGCTGTAAACCGCAATCTTCAGATTTGGATAGATTTTTTTTTTTCTTTTTCCTGTTGCTATGGAAACTTGGGAGTCAAGCTTCAGACGTCAGGAGTTCTCACAGACCTGAATAGAGAGGGTTCAGAGTTAAGTCGGGAATATCACCAGTCAATTCAAAACATTTTAGCTAAAAACCAGATAAATGACAGGCAAGCTATAATAAACACATTTTTAAACATCACACGACTTCGGGAGATTTTTTTTTCCTTGTGGATCACATTGGAAGACAGAATGAATAGTTATACCGTAAAAAGCTGAACTTCTCTGAAAATGCTAATGGTGACTTCAGATGCCAGACATTGCTCAGACCGAGAGCTGCTATTACCACTATTACCAATGAGCCTTATGTCTTTGTCTGTTAGCGCAGAGACTGCTATTTTTTTTTCTTTTTTTTTGAGATGGAGTCTCGCTGTGTCGCCCAGGCTGGAGTGCAGTGGCGCAATCTCGGCTCACCGCAAGCTCGGCCTCCTGGGTTCATGCCATTCTCCTTCCTCAGCCTCCCTAGTAGCTGGGACTACAGGTGCCTGCCACCACACCCTGCTACTTTTTTGTATTTTTAGTAGAGATGGGGTTTCACTGTGTTAGCCAGGATGGTCTCGATCTCCTGACCTCGTGATCCACCTGCCTCGGCCTTCCAAAGTGCTGGGATTACAGGTGTGAGCCACCACACCCAGCCAGAGCTTGGCTATTTTATGAGCACACTGACTACGTATTTTAGAGATTGGTGATTATCCCATATATGTATTGACTTCCTGTGACTATATACATATATATATACACACACACACACACACTTAAGGATCACAAGTCACAAAGCAAGACACCTATTGGTGGTTCTTCAAACATGGTATGTTTTTATTTTATTTTGAGACAGGGTCTCATTCTGTTGCCCAGGCTGGAGTTCAGTGGTACAATCTTGGCTCACTACAACCCCTGCCTCCTGGGCTCAAGCAATCCTCCCACCTTAGTTTCCAGAATAGCTGGGACTACAGGCATGCACCGCCATGCCTGGCCAATTTTTGTATTTTTTGTAGAGATGGGGTTTTGCCATGTTGCCCAGGCTGGTCTTGAATTCCTGGCCTCAAGTGATCCTCCCATCTTGGCCTCCCAAAGTGCTGGGGTTACAGGCTCACCTGTGAGCCACTGCACCTGGCCCAAACATGGTATATTAATTTCCTGTTGCTGCTGTAACAAATGGCTATAAACTTCAAACAACACAAATCTCCTCTTACAGTTCTGGAGGTCAGAAGACTGAGATGAGTCTTACGGGGCTAAAATCAGTGTTGGCTGGGCTGTGCTCCTTCTGGAGGCTCTAGGAAAGCATCTGTTCCCTTGCCTTTCCTGGCCTCTAAGGGCTGCCTGCAGCCCTTGGCTTATGGCCCCTTTCTTCATCTTCAGAGGCAGCACTGCAGCATCTTCTCATTTCACCTCTGGCCTCCCTCTGTTTTCGTCATCGCATGGTCTGTTTCTAAGTGACTCTTCCTCTGTCCCTCTTAGAAGGACTCTGTGATTATATCAGGCTCACCTGGCTAATTCAGGATAATCTCCACATCTCAAAATCCTTCACCTAGGCACATCTGAGAAGTCTCTTTTTTCTGGAGACAGAGTTTCACTTTGTTGCTCACGCCGGAGTGCACTGGCACGATCTTGGCTCACTGCAACCTCCGCCTCCCAGGTTGAGCGATTCTCGTGTCTCAGCCTCCCGAGTATCTGGGATTATAGGCACCCACCCGAAGTCTCCTTTGCCATATAAGGTAACATGTTCACAGGTTCCAGGGATTAGGATAAGGAACACATATTTGGGGGCCATTACTCAGCCAACCACGAAAGTAGCATTGTGTTCCCAGAGGGAAAAAGGCATCTCGTGGCAGACTGTGTTGCAGACTTTGAGAACATGTCATTCATGTAGAAAACTTCACAGAAAGAGACATCAGCATAGTGTGCATTCAAGAGCCTGTCTTCCCAGTGCCTGCTCGTGGCTCCTCCGTACGGCCAGCTTGGGGGCGGGCTCCAGCGTGGAGGCTGTCACTCTGCTCAACTCAGCAATGTGGGCTGGGAGAGGCTCTGGCTCGAGGATGCCCAGATCCAGTTTCAAAATGAGGCATGTTTTCGCCTGCATTTCTCTGTTTTTGCCACCTTACTCCTTGCAAGCACGTTTTGTCTGTGCAATTCCAGCAGAGGTGTGAATTCCAGCCCAGGACGAAGAGTTCATGAAATTGAGTAAACTATTGTGTCTACAGTAATAGTTGCCAAAGCTCTTCCTCACTCTCAGGCTTCTGTTATAGTCTTGCTCCATCAAAAGAAGGAAGAAAAAAAGGACTTAATCAGTCTACAAGTGCTGTGTCCTCATTTACCTGACCATTGTTCTCACTCCTACTGATACCCTAGTCCTGCCTCCATCCAAAAGGCTGCCCTCTGCTCAGAACTTCAGACGTTTTGAGGCAGTCTTTTCATTTTTACAATGATTAGGTCTCATTTACACCCACGCTGCAAGACAGTTGTAAAATATGAACTATTTTTGCAAAAGCCTATTAGGAAGAATGTTCTTTAAGATGTTGTTTTAGGTTGGATACTCACTCCTCTTTATGTTTTTAAATGGGCAAAAGCCATTTATGTTGTCAGGCGGTAGAATGTCTCTACTTTCTGTGTCTAATTTTGGTTAGAGAGCAGAGTGGGGTTTCTCAGCCTCAGTGCTGCTGACATTTGGGGTTGGATAATTCTTTGTGGAGGGTGCTGTCTTGTGTATGTGAAAGGAATGAGGCACATCCCCCATATATCTCCCAACTTCCTGAGTCCAG